CAGTGGGACAGTGGTGGGGATGGTAGTGGTGGGGACAATGGTGAGGACAATGGTGGGAACATTTGGGACAGTGGTGGGGACGGTGGTGGTGGGGACAGTGGTGTGGGGACAGTGGGGATGTGGTGGAAACAGTAGGACAGTGGAGGGTACAGTGGTGGTGGGGACAGTGGTGAAGGCGGTGGCGAGGACGGCGGTGGGACAATGGGACAGAGGTACAGTGGGGACAGTGGTAGGGACAGTGGGGACAGTGGTGGGAACAGTGGGACAGCTCAGTGGTTCGAACCGGTAGTGACCCCTCCCTCCGGTTTTCGAGGGGGGGGGGGCGGGGGGGTTCGAACCGGTAGTGACCCCCCCTCGGTTTTCGAGCTCGAGGGGGGGGGGGGGTTAGGGGAGGGGGGGAGGTTTGCGGGGGAGGGGGGGGAGGGGGGGGGGGTTCCAGCAGGGGGGGGGGGCGGATTTTCGGAGGGGAGGGGGGGGACCCCCGGGTTCCGGAGGAAAAGGGCGGCAATTTTCCACAGTAAAGCGGCGGTGGATCACGCTCTCTCTTATAATGATGATGCTGATGACCAGGTTGATTATGCTGATGATGCTTATGATGATGGTGATGATGGTGATGATGATGCTGATGATGACGATGATGATGCTGATGATGACGACGATGATGATGATTATGATGATGCTGCAGCAATTGATGATGCTGATGATGCTGCTGATGATGATGAGGATGAGGATGAGGATGATACTGATGATGATGACGATTATGATGATGATGCTGCTGATGCTGATGATGCTGATTCTGATGATGATGATGCTGATGATGCTGCTGCTGCTGATGATGCTGCTGATGATGATGCTGCTGCTGATGATGATGATGATGATGCTGATGATGATGATGATACTGCTGATGATTATTATGATGATGATGCTGATGATGATGCTGCTGCTGATGATGATGATGATGATGATGATGATGATGATGCTGCTGATGATGATGATGATGATGGTGGTGGTGGTGGTGGTGATGATGATGATGATGATGATGATGATGATGATGATGATGATGATGATGCTGCTGCTGCTGCTCTGAGGTTGATGATGACGACGATTATGATCGTTGAGATACCGTGGGGGCCCTCTCGGGGGCTTGTTGGAGGCAGTGTCGGGGTCTCTTGGGTGCCGTCTGGCGGCTTCTTAGAGGCCTCTTGGGGGCCTCTTGGGGCTCCTTGGATGCCATTTGGGGTCTTCTGTGGGCCTCTCCGGGCGGAAGGCTGGAAGTGTCAGTTCGTGCTCCTCCTTTTGGTCCCCTCTTGGGGCCGTCTTGGGGCCCTCGGGCTGATTTGGGGGCATCTGGTGCCGTTTTGGGGCTCTCTTGGGCCGTCTGGGGACCCTCTTGGAGGCCGCTTGGGCCGTCTTGGCGCTCTCGAGCGAAGACCGCGCCCGTCTGGCAGCGCTCCTATCAGAATTTCGAGTCGAATCGAGCCCTGGCCACGACGGGCCGCGCAGAGGGGCCCGAACAAGGTCCAGATCCCCGAGTCTTCGAGCAGTGACACTCGATCAACAGCCCTCGAGGCGAGCACGCGCTCTCGTGCACAGCTCCCCGAGGACCTTCCTTGGGTTCGCGCCTCGGAGCGACTCAGAGCCCCACCCCCCGCACTCGAAGCAAGAGAAGAGAATGTATTCGTGCGCTTGTGTGGCAGTCGTATTGACCACTCATGAGGAGGATGGGGGGCGTTGCTCTGTTTACTCGTTTTCCAGGAGGAGCGCGAGGGCGCCCTGAGAGGAGGCAGGGCCTCCTCCACTCCTCCACTCGTCGAGGCCCCGTCTCTCTGTCCGCAGCCCCCCTCGGCTCGAGCAGCCTTGGCGGAAGCCACTCTGACCGAGGCCACATCGGGGCAAGACCGAGTCGTTTCGGCCCGCCAGCCCGAGCAGTCATGCCGACGGGAACTATCAAGAAGTTCTTCGAGGACAAGGGATTCGGCTTCATCACGCCTGACGGTGGTGGCGAGGACGTGTTCGTGCACCGGAAGGTGAACGGTCAAGATCGCACCGCGTATCTCGAGGAGGGCGATGCCGTCACGTACGAGGTTGAGTGGGACGACCGCAAGGGCAAGTACTCGGCAGCATCCTGCTCCGGTCCCTGGAAGACAGGCGGTGGCGATGGCGGCGGCGGAGGTGGCGGCTGGGGTGGCGGCGGCGGAGGTGGCGGCTGGGGTGGTGGCGGCGGCAAGGGTGGCGGAAAGGGTGGCGGCGGCTGGGGCGGCGGCGGCGGTGGGTGGTAGACGCCGCGCAGCTAGGTGGGCCCACCTTGCCCGATAGTCTCTGCTCGCTCGCGGGGGGGCGTTGGCTGCTCCCAAATGGTCTCATGTCTTGCTGCTTGATTGTCCTGGGGCTGGGCGCGCCGAGCGCGTTCGGCGTGGCCAATTTTGAGCGTCGGCACCGAGCGAGGAGATGGCAGTCGCCACTCGCGAGTCGTGAGGCTTGCCCTGCTGGCGGCAGGCGACCAGCATTCGCGCTGTCGACTTCGGTGCCCCGCGCCTGGGGAAAAAGGGGTCGGGGCCCGTCCCCAGGGTGGTCGAGACATGTTGCGGTTCCTGTCGTGTTGTGCTTCCTGGAGGCCTCCAACGTGGTGGCGCCCGTGGGAGGTCTCCTGGTTCGGGCCCGCCTGGGCGGATCTCGTGTGCGTCTTGGAGCCATCTTGGCGCGGGGCTCTCTTGGGGCAAGGTTTTTGCCCGTCTCGAGGGCTTCTTGAGATTCCTCTTGTCCCGAGAGTTCCCCCCGAGGGCTCCCGAGATGGGTCAGACAACATGCCCGCCAACACGGGTGTGTGACTGCCGCAAGTTGGCAACGCTACAAAATACACGCGGTATCATAATCGCGACAGACGGGGCGTAAATATCAGATGCTGATAATGATGATGATGATGATGATGAAGTTGATGATGATGTTGATGATGATTATGATGATGCTGCTGCTGATGGTGATGATGTTGTTGATGATGATGGTGGAGCCGATGATACTGCTGATGGTGATGCTGATGCTGACGATGATGATGATGATGATGGTAATGATGATGATGCTGATACTGATGCTGATGATGATGATGCTGTTCATGGTGATGATGATGGCGATGATGATGACGATGACGATGAAGAAGATGCTGCTGCTGATGATGATGACGATGCTGATGATGCTGCTGCTGATGATTATCATGGTGATGATGACGGTGATGATACTGTTGATGCTGCTGATTATGCTGATGATGCTGATGCTGATGATGATGATGCTGATGATGATGCTGATGCTGATGCTGCTGCTGATGATGCTCCTGATGATGATGATGATGATGATGATGGTGATTATGGTGATGATGGTGATGATGCTGATGATGCTGATAGTCATGATGCTAACTATGATGATGCTGCTGGTGCTGATGATGCTGCTGCTGATGATACTGATAATGCTGATGATGCTGATGA